AAAAAATTCGGCCTTCCATACCTGTGTCTCCCCTTAAATATGTTGATGATGATATGGCTAAAAGAAAAGTTCTGTTAGCTAGAGCCGAAGCAACGACTACTGCATCCGTGACAGCGCAGCAGCCCCGCCCATATCAGCTGCGCCATGGTCACATACTTCCGACGCCTTCAGAACAGCATACAGAACAGTACAAATCAAAAGCTCTTTAACGATACCAAAAAATTTTTGAATTAGAACTTCGTTAGATAGGTTACTATAATCATTTATTGCACAAAAAAGAATATTTAAAACCATTGACTAATTTCATTAAACCCTTAGTTGTTTGCGAATCTTGAAATATAGTTGCGTAAGCTGTTAGTAAAATCAAGGTATGTCATGTGTTAGTTTCGTAGTGATTATTTACCAACTGATAAAAAAACCTTCAGTCTACAGGCATGATTTAACAGAAAGAAAATTGCCATTTTTATTGATTTGCTAATAGATCTGCTACTAAATGATTTGTCAAAGAATCTCGAAGCTTTTTTCCGTATTCTTTATAATTTTTCGAAGTTTGTTTTTTTAGGGGTTCAAAATTATCACAGTTTACTCTAATATAGGACAAATATCTGATTTGTAGTGTATGCCTTGAAAAGAACATCTCTTTAAGGCATTCGATACATTTATCTGTGTGTGGGTTCCAGTGGAGTTTGTTCTTAGTTAGCACTTCTAAATAATCAAAGTGCTAAACCTCTAAAAGAATTCGGTCACTAGTTGAATATGTAAAATGCAGTGGTTTGTTTTCGTTAGTGATTCTCATAAAAGGTTTTTATTAATTGATGAACATTACTCAAGGCTCTCACACCATTTAATGATCTTCGCAAGATCATGATTCCAAGCCTAATTCGCTACAAAACTGAGTATGATACATCTGGCTATTACACTGCATACAACGTAATATTTTTTTTAACTTCTTTAACAACGCCGCTTTTAAACACTATAAAACAATGACATGCCTTAGAATTGGCCCCTTGAAAATGAGGGCTTAAATACACTTTCAGGAAAAATCCTATAAAACGATACACACTGAGAACGATGGCTTTACTGATCGACCTCAGTGAAGCATTCAGTCTAGTTTTACCGTCTTCACAGCAATGCACATAAAAAAAATTTGACCTAAGCAACTAAACATTATTTATTAGAGCCATTTGTATGTTAACTGCTTATATTTGGGTTCGACGCAAGAGAAGTTAGCTACACTATCTCGCTTAGGTGCACGTCTCTACGATATTTGTCTTACAGCATGCCGATCTTTTTCTTATCGCTCGCCACAGATAAACAGCAACCAAGATTCTTCAGAATGCCCTTTCACAGCGGAGTATGTGGTCCCCGCATACAAGCTACTGGACCACATCTATTGCTGCCCTCTAAACTTTACAGCGCAAAACTTCGCCCCTAAAACAGGTAACTGAGTCTGTATTTATGGCTTTCCGAGTGTGTTCTACTTTGTTCCTTTTTTTTCTTCTTTGTTAACAATCTACCCAGCATAGGCAGCGGCTTTACAGTCACGGTAGTGCCCTTTGACCGTCATGATAATGTTCTGTAACAACAGCATCTCTCTAGCTACCCGCGTAGCTTGTAATTCCTTGGCTTTATTGCCAATCAGTTTTTACAGGACTAAATATAAGTCCAGCAAGAATTAGTGACGTATTTTTATCACATAAATTGGGTTCGAATATGTTTGTGATCATATGGCTAAGGAAAAATTTCCAACTGCTAGAGTCGAACCCACGACTACTGCAACCGCTACAGTGCAGTAGCTCCGCCCATCAACTGCGCCACGTTCACATACTTTCGAGGTAGTCCAAACATGCAGTATGGACCCCTTACAGTGCAGTTGGTATTGAGGGTGGTCATACATCAAAACCGTGAGCTTTAATATTAGCTTTCTGAAAACGTCGGTGCTAAGTTTCTATATCATTGGACGCATTTTCAACAGGCCTAGTGGGATATTAAGGGACACCTTTAAGGAAGCGCCAGGTGGTGAACCGAGCCCCAAGCTTGTGGCTCGGCCATAGCATTTATCTGCATAAAAAAAATGGCAGCTTATCTATGGGGTGAATGACGGAGAGTGGGGCGAAGCGTCCGTCCGCCCATTCGTTCTTACTTCCGTTCGTCTGCGTGACCGTCTATGCAGGCGTTTGTTCGTGCGTCCGCAGGTTCTTCCGTGTGTCCGTCCCTGCGTTGGCCCACATGTCCGCCCCTGCGTCCGACCATGCATCGAACCGTCCGTGTAGCCATCCATGCATCCGTCCATGCATCTGTCTGTGTGTCCGTTCGTCCATCTAGTCCACACTTCAAGTACCACCATCTGGCATCTCTTCATCATATATTCCGTATATAGAAGCACTGCCATCCAGCGGACATTCCAAGGTCTAAACGAGGGGAGGCTCTTGCACACTCTCTTCCGGCTTGCGCTTCGTGTGTACTTCCCACCTTTACCCGCCTCAAGTTACTGGTATATACTAGTTCACTGTATTCATTGTACTGTTGCCCAACGCTCGCTAAACCTTTCTTAAACTAAGAAGGTTACACCCGGCGAGTACAACGCAGCAACCCTTTTTTGTCAGATAGTGCTCAATGTACATACCATTGGCTGTTAATGGGTAATGAGAGGCATGAGAATTTGGCTTTCAGTTCACTTGCACACTGAAAATTTTTTATTGTTCAACGACGCACAGGAAAATCTCCCACCAGCACGACCTTCCAGGTCAAAGCGTAAAACATGTTACATACTACGACGAGGGACGAACTGGTGCCGCTCTAAGGAACTTCGCCCCTAAAACAGCTGTGCTAGTAGAGTTCAGTATTAGCTATGACACGTGTGCCTGCCAAGAACGGGCTGTAACACTGCCATGCTGTAACACTGCATTTGTAGCTTACGCTCACGGCTAGCTAAAGAGGGCGTTGCAATGCGCGTTGCGTGTCCCTACACTCAAACTGACGCGTTTCATGACACTAACATGGCAGCAGTGTTGTACGGAATGGCGTTCCAAGGAATGCCATACCAGTAGCTAGTTCTTATGTGGAAGAACGAAAAAAACGTCACCGTTTTGTTCAGAATAGGTGTAACTGTAACTCCAACTCGATACGTTTATGGCGCAACGGCAGGAGAAATAGCATTCTTGGGGCGAATATTCGCGGCATTCAACAGGCATTCAGCACGCCAAAAACACAAGTTGAGAGGGGCGGATGGGTGACCACAAAGGCGCGAAAGTTTACCACTCGCCTGTCACGTCACTCTGATAAACAAAGATTTTCTCTTCAAGACGTCTGCGAGGGACAAAGGGAAGTGCGCATCACTGATACAGACTACGAGCTGGAGGAATAGTTATTTACAGCACGGCTCTTGTGCTTGAGGTTTGACGCATATGGAAGAAATAAAACTATTGTCATCGAAAACTGGCAGCTGCTCTCTGTACTCTTTCATTCCTGTTCTGCTTCGCTTCTGGAACATATGCGCCGATTCGTTAGGTGTGAGATGCAATAACTGAAATGGACAAGACAACGAGTACAAAGATAGAGAGACAAAGAAGAAGAATATTCGGAGAGAATGAACGCGAGGTGGGATCGACGCACGTGGATGTGGTTGTTCGGCTTTGTGATTTTTTAGATGTAACCCATTTATTTTACAATATCCTTGTGACTTTTTTGCTCAAGATGTGTGAAGATTTTCTGTACGTTTTGAAACTTTTGTGACAAGATCTGTTCACTAGAACGTCTTTTACTGTGACTTCTGTGGCTCCTCGCCTACGAGAGCTTGGCGCCTTTCCGACACCGTAGGCGTTACACACCTCAAGCAGGCGTCGCGTGCCAGGTTGATGGAGTAGATGGGGAGGACCTCTCCCCGGAGTAAATGCTTGTTGCAAGTAAAAGAGAAAGAAGGGGTGACGGCGACGACCCAGAAACGCTGGCTCATTCGTTTGATCCATTCACCTTCCATTCCATTCAGCCAACTGCGCCGCCGGCAACTGCGGAATTTCTGTGACACAAACTCTTTAACGCTGTCGCGTTAAAACAAACTGTGTTCGGCTTGGGGTTAGCGTTTCACAACGGCATCTCCAGCACACATTTTCGCATGCTCTTGAGAGGCGTACAGCCGGCGTACGGTTGAGGGAGGCGTGAGCGGAGGGGAAAGTGGGGCACAGAGAAAAGAGAGAGCAAAGTTTGAGAGAAGGAGTGGCTAAGCACTGCACCTACCCTCTCCTAGACTCTCTCGCACCCCATGTTCTAGTTTCTAGGGCGAAAATAAGCGCGCGCACACGCAGTTGTTGCTAAGTGAGAGGAAGTGAGCGAAGAGTGAGAGTGGCACCTCGACCGCTGCGTACAACAGCAAAACTTGACATGACCCTGATTTATAGATATGTGGGGTTTAACGTCCCAAAACTACCATATGTATATGAGATGCGGTACTGGAGGGCTCCGGAAATTTCGACCACCTGTGGTTCTTAAACGTGCGCCCAAATCTGAGCACACGGGCCTCCAACATTTCCGCCTCCATCGGAAATGCAGCTGCCTCAGCCGGGATTCGAACCCGCGACCTGTGGTTCAGCAGCCGAGTACCTTAGGCACTTGACCACCGCGGTGAGGGGGCCTGACATAACTCGACTGAGAAATGCATTTGCATTTAAAACAAACAACAGGGTGCAGATTGTAGCCAGCGAAATAAAGAAATGCTTGATCTGTGCCACCATCTATTGAGAGCAAAGAAAAGTTGAGATACAGCTGCAGTATGCTGATAGAAATAAGAATAAACCAATAAGATCGCATCTGATTGGGCTACCCAAATAATGCAACTACATGAACTCGTGAATGCATAGAGCCGTGGAGTCGAGCGTGTGAACCTGAGATAGGTGTGCCAGAACACATTGGTCAAAAAAGTTTTACCTTCTACTGCTTCTACCCAAGACATTCGCCACACCCATAAATACGCTTATGCTGTCTATTTGTGTGCTTCTTTTCAGACATACACCTTCAACCAAGCACAAGAGGAACTTATGCTGACATGTCCATACGACAGCCAGCATAAGGTAAAGACCAGTCGCTACCTCATACACTTGATGAAGTAAAAGAAGGTAGGTGCTGTAGATTTAAGTAAAGTAGCCTCTAGATATCTGATTCATTAGCAACCTGCTTGTGCGAAGCCGTACCGTGAGCCATATATTGGTGACGTTTCACGATGTTACAGTGAATTTCTCACTTTTTAATGCTCTCTTGCTATTGCCCAAGAATCCACCAGAACTTGTACTGTACACTTATTTATTATTTGTACGCGGTGCTGCCCTGATGAGCTATTTCTGAATGGTCCGTAAATACTAAAGGATGAACTATATACAACAAGAATAGAAACAAGCAAAATGAATCGCATTTCGACTAATAAAAGGCCTGTAAGATTAAATTTAAAGGAAGAGAAGGAGTACATGAAAGCAATAAATTGCAGTTTTATATTCAGAAATATATAAAGCACTCTGCAGCTTATTGTAATGCTGCCTTCTATATAATATATTATAGATATATGACTAGTGTTTGTCCACAACGTTTGCGATATTTTATTCACTTGTGTGCGCTTACAAGAGGGGTCGGCAACTTTGTGATGTAGAAGAGCATTAAGCCGACACAGCAAGGGCCTCATGGACAAGCCGAGGGGGGCAAAGGGCATTTTGCAGGTGAAAAAAAATATGCGGAAATTAGTACTATGCGAAAGTGGAGCATAATTAAATCAAAATCACTTTTTGTGTGCATGCCACAAAATTGCGATTTTTTGGAACAGGTTGCAAGCAAACTACTCCAGTTCAATTTTTGGTGCTCAAGATTTCTAACAAACTCACAAATATCTGCATCACAAGTTGCTCCCTGACAGAGGTAGAAGTCCATCGAATAGTCCACCGCAAACGCAAGTCTCATTTGATAAATTTCATTTTTGAGAAAGTCTCTTCGCAGTCGTATGGGCAGCCGAGAACTGTTGTCGCGGCTGTTCCTGTGAAGTACAGCGTGAAACATCACTGACTTTTGCGTCGAATCCTTCTGTTAGCTCATTGTCTCGTTGTATAACACGTTTCAACTGCTGAACATTCATATCCTCAAAAAAATTCTGAAAAAAAAAAACGGGCGGTACCTGATTTTTTTTGACAACCAGAAAACCTAATTTCATTTTGCTCTGTAAAGCCTGTAACATTTGAGAGTTCATTGGGAAGTGGTGCGCTCATACCATGCACAAAACATTTGCAGCAAAGGAAGTGACACGGATTATATTCACTATCCTGCTAGGGAAGTTTTAGCTCGGAAACTTCAGCGTAGCAAATATGAAGAACACCAGTTTCCGATTTCCTTTGCTGAAGGTCCTTCCCTCACCTGGAAATTCCACAAAGAAACTTCCTCCATTCACAGGCGAGCGCAGGGATTTATGTTCAGCAGAGAATGAGGTCGATGATGTTGCAGTGACCCCCCTTTTTATTATATAAATATATGAGCCAGTCTCAACCGCCCTCCCGCGCCGTTCTTTTAGAACAAATAATTGAAGACGTTACCTAGCACAGTGTAAAAACGGGTGAGAATGCCAACTGGAGGCAATCTTCCTGTGTTATCTAACTTCATTTGAGGTCGAAACTGCCACATGGTCCTTCAGACCAGAAGTGACAAGGAGACGAGTGTGGTGGTTTCGAGGTCGTGCCACTGATAGTCAACTACTTCCTTAGCGCATTAACCAGGTCCACTCACAGCTTTGAGATCAGGCATCGCCAGGAGGTTTTCATTGATGCGGCCTTTCATAGCTAGTGTGCGTTCACGTACTGCATAGTGTCAGCAAGACTGTCCCTCTGTACAGCATCGATATGCGATAAGATACGGCTGTGCTAAGCTATTCTGGAATAAAATTGCCAAACTTTTGTTTTGATGGGCCACATTAGCGATGATTTTATTTCACCGTTTTGAAAGTTGTGTAGAACCTTAAAACTTCTACATATTGTCACGAGGAATAAAGTATACACAATGAATATACTGGCGAGCGAATGCGTACAACGCTGCTGCAGTCCGAGCACGTTTCCCACAGCACTTTGTCGTCGTCGTCCGCAGGCATCTGCCTATTCGTGACATTAACCGCCGGCGGCAGAAGCACCATCCCGGTGCGATGAATTCTTGGGGCGTGAGTAGTATGCTTTAAGCCGTGAGACATGCACTGTATCGGTCGGAACTGAAGCTGGTATTGACGTGGTATGGAGTGGAGCTATCTGATAGGTCACGCGGGTGACCTTGTGTATGACGTGGTAGGGGCCAGCGTAACGGGACATCAGTTTTTCACAGAGACCAACACGACGCGATGGTAACCACAGCAAGACGAGCGATCCCGGAGAGCAGTACGTTGCGGTGCCAGGCAATCCTAGGCACTCTTTTGGTTAAGCTGCGAGGCACATAAACGATCTCGGGCGGCTTGGCGGGCCAGGGCATCACGAGCATAAGCAGTCGATGAGGGGGCGTCAGATTGGAGCATAGTGTCCATGGGCAAAGGCGGGTCATAACCAAACAGTAGGTAAAAAGGTGAAAATCCAGCTGTATCGTGATGTGAACTGTCGTATGCGAAGGTAATGAAAGGTAAGTGGATGTCCCAATCTTTGTGATCCTTGGAGACGTACATCACTAACATATTCGTCAGGGTACGGTTTAGGCGTTCCGTGAGGCCGTTGGTTTAAGGGTGGTACGCTGTAGTGAACTTGCGGTGGGTAGAGCAGGATCACAGGAGCTCGTCGACTACTTTAGATAGAAAACAGTGGCCGCGGTCGGTGACCAACTGACGAGGGGCACCATGACGCATAATGATGTCAAAAAGAAGGAAATGGGCTACATTAGTAGCGCAGCTGGTGGGGGAGGGCGCGTGTAATGGCATACCGCATTGCGTAGTCGGTAGCAATAGCAATCCACTTATTACCGGTGGCCGACACGGGAAAAGGTCTTAGAAGATCGAGGCCGGCTCAGAAAAATGGCTCATCTGGTACTTCAATGGGCTGGAGAGTACCAGAAGGTTCCAGAGCAGGTGTATTGCGGCACTGGCAGAGGTCGCATGCCGCAACGTACTGTCGCACAGAACGGTAGAGGCCAGGCCAAAAGAATCGGCGGCGAACGCGGTCATACGTGCGTGACACCCCTAGGTGTCCAGCGGAGGGGGCATGATGGAGCTGGGCCAAAACGTCTCAGCGAAGATGCGCAGGAACAACGAGTAAAAGCTCAGCACCATCTGGGCGGGCGTTGTAGCGGTGCAAGATGTCGTTGTGAAGAACGAACAGTTGTAAGGAGTAGTCAGGGTAGGGGGAGTGCAGACCATTGATAATAGCATGCAAAGAGGGGTCGCGGCATTGTTCAGCAGCTATGTCGGTGAAGTCGGTAATTGAAAGAGCGAGGACCTCTTGTCCATCTTCCATCATGTCAGGGGGATCGACTGGGTAACGGGACAAGCAGTCGGCATCCTTGTGAAGTTGTTTGGATTTATAGGATACAGAAAATGTGTACTCTCGTAAGCGCAGCGCCCAGCGACCAAGGCGCCCCGTAGGGTCCTTGAGTGAGGAGAGCCAGCAAAGCGCATGGTGGTCTGTAATACCTGAGACGGCCATAGAAGTAAGGTGGGAATTTCGCAATTGCCCAGACGAGAGCTAAGCACTCGCGTTCTGTGATCGAATAATTTTGTTCTGAGCGCGACAACAGTCGGCTTGCATACGTGACGACGCGGTGCATTCCTTGTTGCCGCTGCGCTATGCCGTGGCCACTGGCGTCAGTACAAAGCTCCGTGGTGGCAGATGGGTCAAAGGGTGCTAGGACTGCTGGATTGGTGAAAATCTCAATGAGTGACGAGAAGGCGTTTGCTTGCTGTTGGCCCCAGGTGAATGCGACATACGTTTTAAAGAGGCCGGTTAGAGGACGGGCTACTTCAGCAAACTTTTCGAGAAAAGGACGGAAATAGGTGCACAGTCCCAGAAAACTTCGGACGTCCTTGGCTGAGCGGGGTGTGGAAAAGTCGCGAACTGCTTGGACTTTCGCAGGGTGTGGTTGAACGCCCGCAGCGTCAATAAGATGGCTGAGTACGCAGATTTGGCGTTGCCCAAAGCGACATTTGGACGAGTTAAGTTGCAAGTTGGCAGGTCGGAAAACATCAAGCACTGTAGACAGACGGGTAAGCTAGTCGTCAAAAGTAGTCGAAAAAACAATAACGTTGTCAAGATAGCAGAGGCAGATGGTCCACTTCATGCCACGAAGGAGAAAGTCCATCATGTGCTCAAAAGTCGCGGGGGCATTGCATAATCTAAAAGGCATTATCTTGAACTGATAAAGTTCATCAGAAGTCAGGAAGGCCGTCTTCTCTCTGTCTTTGTCGTCCACAGCGATCTGCCAGTAGCCTGAGCGAAGGTCTATTGAAGAGAAATATTTGACACTGTGTAAGCAATCGAGTGCATCATCTATGCACGGTAGGGGATAGACATCTTTCTTGGTAATATGGTTGAGATGGGGGTAATCAACACAGAATCTCCAGCTATTATCCTTCTTTTTAACAAGTACAACGAGTGAGGACCAGGGACAAGATGAGGGTTCGATTATGTCCTTATGAAGCATTTTATCGACTTCTCGCTGTATAATAGCACGCTCCTGGGCTGACACACGGTAGGGCCGTTGGGGAATGAGCCGAGCGTCACCGTTGTCGATGCGATGGGTTGCCACGGATGTCTGGCACAAATTACGGTCGCCGAAGTCAAAGATCTCCCGATAAGAAACAAGCACACGGCAGAGAGCAGAGACTTGTTCAGAGGTGAGCTTGTCAGATAGCATTGGCTTGAAAAGGTCAGAACAGGAACGTGACGAGAGCGACGTTGATGAAAAAATCAGGTGGCGAATCTATGGTTAGGGCGGAAACTGTGTGTTCGACCAGTGGTGTCAGATACGCAAGTGACATGCTGCGAGGAATAACTTACGCTGAGAAGCCAAAATTGAGGACGGAAAATGAAGTTCGGTTGTCTTTAACAGTAACCACCGTGTTGGGGAGTGCAGCACTACGTGTCATGGCCATGTCAGAAATTGGGGCAGCAACATAATCAGCATCAGGTACTGGAGGATATGGCGAGAGTTGGACTTGGACTGCAGCTCGCGGCAGAAGTCTGAGGAAATCGACAGAGCTTAGACGTGGTGGGCTGGTAGAGACGGTCTCTGAGAAGGATGGTAGTTCGAGCCGAAGAAGACGTTTGGAACAGTCAATGAGCACAGCGTGTGAAGTCAGAAAGTCGAGTCCAAGGATGAGGTCATGAGGGCAATTTTCCAGTACAGCGAACAGAACTGAAGTTTGGTGCTCAGAAATGGTTATTCGCACAGTGCACATTCCAAGGATGGCAGGAGTACTCCCATCCGCTGTACGAGCGGTAGGTGCAATCGCAGGCGTCAGAACTTTTTGGAATTTCCGATGGAGGCGGAAATGTAGGCCCGTGTGCCCAGATTTGGGTTAAAGAACCCCAGGTGGTCAAAATTTCCGGAGTCCTCCACTACGGCGTCTCTCATAATCATATGGTGGTTTTGGGACGTGAAACCCCTCATACCAATCAGAACTTTTTCGAGGCGGCGGCGGAGGTCTGAGCTCATCACAGATATTTGCGCACCGGTATCAATAAGAGCAGTTACAGGTAAACCATCAACGAGAATTGTAAGAAGGTTGCACCGCTGGTCGGGAGTAATCAGAAGATTTGCAGTCCGAGTCGTGTATGCAGCCTCACCTCCGGAGGCTGCACCGGCTAGTTTTCCGAGCAACGGTCGTAGGGAGACCGAGAAACGCGGGGTTGGGGCGAGCGGGACGGACGACGCACGGGCGATGGCGAGCAGCTGGTCCGACGTTCTGAATTATGCTCTGCACCTGTCTCTGCACAGTAGGATGGGGCATAAGGTGCACGTTTGGAGCGAGGTCCCCAATCAGAAGCTCGGTCGAGGTGAAGAGGTCCAACGGCTCTGGCTATGGCGAGCGATGTGTCCTATCCGATGGCACGTGAAACATATGGGCCGATCATCATGAGTGCGCCATTAAGCTGGATTTCGTCTTGGCGCGAACGTGCGGATCAGAGTGGCAGCCGCAACCACTGGAGCCAAGCCGGAAATAGCCGGGGCATTTTCCGTGAGGTGGCGAAATGCCCATATTAGTGATCTCTTGGCGAACCACGGCCTGTATCATTGAAACAGCATCGAGGTTGTGTCCTGGCGCGCTGACGTTAGACATAGTGGGTGCTATAGCCTCGAGTTCCCGACGAATTATTCTGGTGATGTTTCCGGCCGCTGGTGGCATTCAACTAAGTATGATACATCGTGCAGTTATACTGCATACAACGTAATAATTTTTTCAACTTCTTAAAGAACGCCACTTTTAAACACTTTTGAAGAAGCACATGCCCCAGAATGGGCCCCTTGGAAATGGAGGCTTAAATACACTTTCAGGAAAAATGCTATCGAACGATACACACTGATAACGATGGCTTTACTGATCGACCTCAGTGAAGCATTCAGTCTAGTATTATCGTCTTCACATCAATCCACCAAGAAAAATTTGACCTAAGCAACTAAACTATATTTATTAAAGCCATCTATATGTTAACTGCTTATATTTGGGTTCGACGCAAGAGAAGTTAGCTATACTATCTCTCTTAGGTGCACGTCTCTATGATGTTTGTATCACAGCATGCCGATCTTTTTTATCGTTCGCCGCAGACACACAGCAACCAAGATTTTTCAGAATGCCTTTTCACGGCAGAGCATGTGGTCCCCGCGGACAAGCTAATAGACCACATCTATTGCTGCCCTCTAAACTTTACAGCGCAAAACTTCGCCCCTAAAACAGGTAACTGAGTCTGTATTTATTGCTTTTCATGTGTGTTCTACTTTGTTCCTTTTTTTTCTTCTTTGTTAACAATCTACCCAGCATAGGCAGCGGCTTTAGAGTCGCGGTAGTGCCCGATGAGCTTCGTGATAATATTCTGTAACAACAGCTTCTAACTACCTGCGTTGCTTGCGAATTGCTTGGCCTTATCGCCAATCGGTTTTTACAGGAGTAAATATTAGTCCAGCAAGAATTAGTTACGTATTTCCATCACGTAAATTGGGTTTAAATATGTACGTGATTTTATGGCTAAGGAGAAAGTTCCGCCTGCTAGAGCTTAACCAACGACTACTCCATGCGTGACAGTGCAGCAGGCCCACCGATCAAGTGCGCCACGGTCACATACTTCCAAAGCCGTCTAAACACACAGTACGGACCCTTTATGGTGCACTTCATATTGAGGGTAGTCTTACATCAAAACCATTACCTTGTATATTAGCTTTCTGAAAATGTCAGTGCTACGTTTCTATACCATTGGACGCATTTTGAACAGGCCTAGTTTGATTTTAAGGGACGTTTTAAGGAAGTGCCAGGTGATGAACCGAGCCCCAAGCGTCTGGCTCGCCCATAGCATTCATCTGCATAAAAAAATGGCAGCTTATCTACGGGGTGAATGATGGAGAGTGGGGCGAAGCATCCGTTCGTCCAATCGTTTTTACTTCCATTCGTCTGCGTGACCATCCATGCGTGCGTTTGTTCGTGCATCCGCACGCCCTTCAGTGTGTTCGTCACTGCGTTCGCTCACGCATCTGCCCCTGCGTCCGACCATGTATCGAATCGTCCGTGCAGCCATCCATGCGTTCGTCTATGCATCTGTCTGTGTGTCCGTTCGTCCATCTAGTCGGCACTCCAGGTGCCAACTAGATGCTTGTTGGCAAGAAATGCTTGTTGGAGGAAATGCTTGTTGCAAATAAAAGAGGAAGAAGGGGCGACGGGCACGAGCGAGGAGCGCTGGCTCGCTCGGTTGTTCCAGTCACCTTCCATTGCATTCAACCAACTGTGCCGGCGCCATCTGCGGAATATTTGTGACACGAGCTCTTTAAAGCTGTCGCAATAAAACAAACTGCGTTCGGTTTGGAGTTGGCGTTTCACAACGGCGTCTCCAGCACACGATTTCGCAAGCTCTTGAGAGGTGTCCAGCTGGCATATGGTCGAGAGAGGCCTGACCGGAGGAGAATGTGAGGCACAGGGAAGAGAGAGAGCTAAATGTGAGAGAAGGAGCGGTGAAACACTGCACCTACCCTCTCCTTGATTCTCGCAACCCATGTTCTAGTTTCTAGGGTTGAGAATAAGCGTGCGCGCCCACAGCTGTTGATAAGTGAGAGGAAGTGAGCGAAGAGTGAAAGTGGCACCTCGGCTGCTGCGGACAACACCGAAACCTGACATAAGCCTGACTGATAGATATGTGGGGTTTAAGGTCCCAAAACCACCATATGATTATGAGAGACGCGGTAGTGGAGGGCTCATGAAATTTTGACCTTCTGGGGTTCTTTAACAAGCACCCAAATCTGAGCACACGGGCCTAGAATATTTTCGCCTTCGTCGGAAATGCAGCCGCCGCAACCAGGACTCGAACCCGCGACCTGTGGGTCAGCAGTCGAGTACCTTAGCCACTAGACCACTGCGGCGAGAGTGCCTGACATAACCCGACTGAGAAATGCATTTGCATTTAAAACAAACAAGAAGGTGCAAATCGTAGCGAGCGAATTAAAGAAATGCTTGATCTATGCCACCAACAATCGAAATCGGAGAAAAGTTGAGATAAGGCTGCAGTATGTTGATAGGAATAAGATTAAACCAATAAGCTCGCATCTGAACAGGCTAGCCAAATAATGCAGTTACAGAAACTAATGAATGCATAGCGTCGTTGAGTCGAGTGGGCGAACCTGGAACGTGTGTGCCAGAACACAACGTGCAAAAAAGTTTTACCTTCTCCTCCTCCTACCCAAAACATTTGCCACACCCAGAAATACGCTTATGCTGTCTATTTGTTGCTTCTTTCTGACAGATGCCATGAACCAAGCGCAAAAGGAACTTTACTGACATGTCCGTGCGACAGCCAGCTTAAAGTAAAGACCAGTCGCTACCTCATACACTTGATGAAGTGTAGAAAGGTGGGTGCTGTAGGTTTAAGTAAAGTAGCCTCGAGATATCTGATCCATTAGCAACCTGCTTGTGTGAAGCCGTACCGTGAGCCTTGTATTGGTAACATTTCACGGTGTTACAGTGAATTCCTCACTTTTTAACGCTCTCTTGCTACTGCCCAAGAATCCACCAGAACTTGTACTGTACACCTATTTATTATTTGTACGCGGTGCAGCCTTGATAAGTAATTTCAGAATGAGCTGTAAATACTAAAGGGTCAACTATATACAACACGAATAGGAACAAGCAAAATGAATACACATTTCCACTAATAAAAAGCCTCTAAGATTAAACTAAAGGGAGAGAAGGAGTCGATGAAGGGGATAAATTGTAGTTTTATATTGCAAAATATATTGAGTATTCCGCAGCTTATTGTAATGCTGCCTTCTATATAACATATCGAAAATATATGACTAGTGTTTGTCCACAATGCATGTGATATTTTATTCACTTGTGTGCACTTATCACAGGGGTCGGCAACGTTGTGATGTAGAAGGGCATTAAGCCGACACAGCAAGGGCCGCATGGAGAAGCCGAGGGGGGCAAAGGGCCCCTCGCACGTGAAAAAAAAAATATGCAGCAATTGACAGTAATATGCGAAAGTGGAGCATAAATAAATCAGAATCACTTGCCGCACGCATGCCACAAAGTTGCAATTTTTAGGAACAGGTTGCAAGCAAACAATTCCAGTTTGATATTTGGTGCTCAGGATTCGTAGCAAACTTGCAAATATCTGCATCACAAGTTGCTCCCTGACAGAGGGAGACGTCCATCGGATAGTCCACCGCAAACGCAAGTTTCATTTGATGAATTTCATTCTCGAGAAAGTCTCTTCGCAGTCGTATGGGCAGCCGATAACTGTTGTCGCGGCTGTTCCTATGAAGTGCAGCGTAAAACTTCACTGACTTTTGCATCGAATCCTTTTGTTAGCTCATTGTCTCTGTGTAGAACAACATGTTTCAACTGCTAAACATTCATATCCTAAAAAAAATTCTGAAAAAAAAACGGGTGGTACCTGATTTTTTTGAGAACCAGAAAACCTAATTTTATTTTGCTCTGTAAAGCCCATAACATTTGACAGTTAATAGGGAAGTGGTGCCCGCATACCATGCGCAAAACATTTGCAGCAATGGAAGTGACAGCGATTACGCTCACTATCTGGCTAGGAAAGTTACAGTTAGGAAACTTCAGCATAGCAAGTATGCAGAACACTAGTTTTTGATTTACTTTGCTGAAGGTCCTTACCTTATCTGGAAATTCCACGAAGAAACTTCCTCCATTCACAGGCGAGCGCAGAGATATATATTCAGCAGAGGATGGGGTCGATGATTTGTCGCAGTGGCCACCTTTTTATTAAATAATTCTATGAAACAGTCTCACTCCGCCCTCCCGCCCCGTTTCTTTAGAACAAATAATTGAAGACGTTACCTGGCAGAGTGTAAAAACGCATGAGAATGCCAACTGGAAGCAATCTTCCTGTGTTATCTAACTTCATTTGAGGTCGAAACTGCCATGTAGTCCTTCATACCAGAAGTTACAAGGAGACAAGAGTGGTGGTTTCGACGTTGTATCGGGGCCACTGCCAACCCTTTCCTTAGCGCATTAACCAGCTCTACTCACAGCAATGAGATCAGCATCGCCAGGAGGTACTTCTACCGATTTTTTTATTGATGTAACCTTTGATAGCTAGCGTGCGTTCACGCACTGCATAGTGTCAGCAAGATTGTCACTCTCTACAGCATCAATATGCGATATCATACGGCTGTGCTAAGCTATTCTGGAATGAAATTGCTAAGCTTCCTTTTTTTATGGGTCACATTATCGTTGATTTTATTTCATCATATTGAAAGTTGTTTAGAGCCTTAAAACTTCCACATATCATACATAATAATGCAATTATGTTATTAGACCTCGTTGACATTGAGAAAATGTCATCATTAGTTTGTTTTATTCACAACAGTGGCTTCCTGAAAATTTAAAAGCGGTTACCTATATGATTCGCTTTGAGAAATTTTTATATTGTAACAAGGTACTTGTGTGTTACATGGCAGTCGAGTTTGTGTTGAACTATTCACTCGGTCACCAATGGCTACATGATTGAGAACAACTACTTATGTTTTTATCATTAGAAGGAAAATGGCTTGTCGTCTAATCATAAAGAGATAGTTATTAGAATGTGTGAGAAGTAACATGTTGTGTGGGGCAAGGTGTGCTTGTGTTACAAAACGCAGCTCCCGTTCGGCCATTCTGACCGGTCGGTTCTGCGAAGGGGGAAGCAGAAGACCCGTGTATGGGAAAGAAAGGGGACTCTGTCGTTCACATGGTTGACTAGAGATCCATCAAAGCTGCTCCCCCCCTCCCCGTGTGCTTTGGACAAAAAGAAAAAGCCCACCGGAAAGTTTGCCTCGCAAAAACCAGGTACCAGGTGACGCGTGGTTATCTAGGTTTCAAGATAATGGCATTCACCCTTACTGTAAAAACACAAGGACAAAGAAGTAGTTTTTCGTCTCGAGCTTGAGAGACGGCTCCCGGTGTACATCAGCCGATACACATCCTAACATGGGATTGAGTGTAATGAAGCATGTTACCGTAATTACTCGAATCTAACGCGCATCTTTTTTCCGGTTAGGCGAGTTCATAAATCGCATGCGCGTTGGAATCGAGTATGAACAAAAAAATTACGGTCAATCTATTGCCATCGGCAAATTCAAAATGGCCGCCCCCTACGTGCGTCGGCATGGCCCGTCGGCCATTTCTGCCTATGTGTTTCCCATGTGCGGCACTTCGTACGTGTGCTGAGGAGTTCGTCATCTAGTAGTGCATTAGCATCGACGGCGAGGAAGGGCCGACTCCAAAAACTCGAGTGCACCACGATGCCGCTTTTAAAAGAAAAGTCATCGCGTGTGCAAAAATGGACGGAAATCGGGCCGCATCGCGGTCGTTCGGAGTTCCCGAAACGTGCGTGCGGGACCGGCGGAAACAAAAAGCAGAAGATTGTCGACAGCAAAGCTTCACGCAAAGGCTTCAGTGGACCACAGCAGGGTCGGTTTCCGCAAATTAAAGAGCTGCTCGGCGAGTATGTGCTTAAGCAGCGAGCGGCACAGCGGCCCGTGACGACAGAACTGCTCCAAGTGCGGGCTATGCAATTAGCCTTAGAAAAAGGTCTAATGCGGAGCCAGTTTAAAGCGAGCAGGTGCTGGCTAACTAACTTTATGAAGAGGAAAAGCTTTTCCCTCCAAAGGGGAACATGCATATGCGAAAAGTTTTGCGGAGGAGTACGATGAAAAGCTTCACAGTTTTCAGAGGTTCGTCCAAAACTTGCGGCGCAACGACGGCTACCTGCTTGGGCAAATCGGGAATGCCGATCAGACGTCTCTTTACTTCGACATGCCTGGCACCACAACCATCGAGAAGAAGGGGGCGAAGCAAGTTCGCGTGCTGACATCGGTCCACGGTAAAACTACAGTGACGGCAATGCTCTGTTACACGTCAGATGGGCACAATCATCGCCCGTACCTCATATTTAAATGGAAGACGCTCCCGAAAGGAGTCGTTTTTTCGAGTGGTGTGATCGTGCGGGCCAGCGAGAAAAATGGGTGCGCGTTGCAATCGATGTCTTACGTTTTTTTGTTTTTTTTTTTGCGGTGGAAATCGGGTGCACGCTACAATCGAGGGCGCGGTAGAATCGAGTAAATACGGTAAGCGGAGAACCTATCCTGTCTCTTGTTGTATTTTGTAACATGCTCTTTACCAATGCAGTGTCGGTTGTGAAAGTGGTTCTGCAATTTGTTGTGATGATGCATGCCTCCGAGTGTTATTGGCTAGTGTGGAGACCCTTTGTTTGACCGAGGGTTGAAAAGAGATTGGTTGGATGTTAACTGAAAGTGGAGGTTCGAGCTTGTACCCGGGCAGGCGTCTGAATGCTGCAATAAAGCTTTTCTTTTGATCCAACAAGGGCTCTTTTTTCGTGCCTCCAACCAGCACTCGATTCATCGAGGGGCACTCTTTTCGAGCATGGAACGCCTTCCCCCTTAGATGAAGTTGAGTCTAGTTGAGGAAGTGGAAATTAACTGGGATACTGAACAAAATTTTTGCCACAAAGATTTTGAACTAAATTGAAAGATTAGGTCTTAAAATCTATTTAATAGATACAACCTTCATTCTAGCCCAAAAATAGTGGGAAAAGATAAATTTATTGCGTTTTTGACGCACTGTCATGTCTAGCGACCGCGTCATGAACTACAGGAGGTGACGTTCGGCGACGTCACACCCATCCGAAACAGGCCAGCCAGCAAGCAATATCAGCTCTCGCCGCCTCTCTCGACTTTCTCGTCTCCCTTTACGGTTCTCAGAACTGGTGCTATCAGTCCCAGTCGCAAACAATGCTCCCAGTGAGGCAAAGCATAAGGACTTTTGTGGAATGTGGCGAGTTCAATGAAATAATGGGTGGAGAAAAGGAAGTGAACCGGAACTCAAGCACATCGCATGCGCCTCAGCGTTTGTGACGTCACGACTACCGCTCGCGTGCAGCCACGGCGAACTGACTATCCACAAAAAGTACAGCCAACTGTTCGAAAATACGTCAAATGAACTCTGTTAATCAGAACCGTTGCATCTCCCCAGTATAATTTCTAAGTTTCATCAGTTTTTCACATTTTGGTTCAGTATCGTTTTGTCATGATGTGGCAAAGTTGTTCGGTGAAAAGTTAAAACATTTACATCCGTCTGACTGCATCATCCACACGTGCAACTGCCCGATTGTCACAAATGTTAGCGATCCCTTCTTTTTTATACATAATGAATGAGAGTGCAAAATCAACACCCTTTATCAATTTGACATTTTTACGCCAGGCAAGTAGCAAAAGTGTCAAAGGCTTTTTGTCTTCAATGTTTATCTTACTAGACTTGTACATATTCTGCTGAATAATTCATTTCTAAAAACTGTGATCTAAGTTAGACCATGACACAG